TGTCATGTGCCTTTTAATCTGGCCACTCTACCATAAAGGCCTGATTGATGGAGTGCTGCAGAGATGGTTGTCCTTCTGGAAGGTTCTCTAATCTCCACAGAAGAACTCTAGAGCTCTGTCAGAGTGACCATCGGGTTCTTGGTCACCTCCCTGACCAAGGACCTTCTCCCCCGATTGTTATTTTTAATGCCTGCCAGCAAAGCCACTACACAACACAACACTAAACAATACATTAATTGCACTATAACGGTGACAAACGGTTCCCACAAACTTTTAGGGTCTACATAAAGCTGTCCCAACAGAAAAGCTTTATTTTCAGCACCATGGAGTGAAACCTTACCACCACTACACCTGGCTATCAGTGGAGCCTTGTCTGGCAGGTAAACAGTTAATTCATCCACATTTACTGCCTTTTTAAAATACAAAGTTGATATGCTGACTTGCTTTAACAAATGTGGTTTCTACTGACAATTGAGATGTACAAACTATGGCATAAGGGAACGATGAGCGAATAAGAGGCAATCCATAATTTCAATTAAGACATTAATGAGCAAGCTAAGATGGACGTAGTCAATATAACTATTTATTCAGCACTTTTGAAATGTACAGCGACGGAATTCAGAACATGGGCCGTTCTTACAATATTCTCCTTGTACACCAAGTCAGAACTGTAGGATAAATAAAGGGGGCACATAAGCAGACAATGAAAGCTCTTACAATATTCGATGATGAAATTTCTCTAAAACAGACTATTGGCTACATGTGCACCACCAAGTCAGAACAATAGGCTAAGTTATGAGGGGGAAAGGGACCAAATTATTAGGGTGAGGCACATGGGCTCCTAACAGCTTACTACACAAATACACTTAGTATTACTTTCTTACCTACAGTATACATATCTCCCTGGCATATTACATCATTTATGCAGCAGCATACAATAAATATTTGGACTCACCTTGTTGTGCTGTGCTCACTTGAACAGGAAGGTGGCGCGGCGGTCCATCTTGTGGGCAAATTTTGTCATCAAACTTTGTCATCAAAGTCTGGCATTCTCTGTATTTATGGTGCTTTCATGACAACTGGGAACTCAGAAAAAAACAAGGTCGAATCATGACGTCAGTGATCTTCAGGTCGGAGCTCTAGAAAGAGGCCCGAGTTCCTGACTTGGAATTCCGAGTTGGATGACCATTCAAAATGTATTTTCCCAGTCGGAGCTTGTTTTTTTCAGAGTTCCCAGTTGTCTTGAACTCACTGAAGTCTGACATTTCCCAGTTCCGAGTTTCCAGTTGCTTTGAACGTGGCAAAAGTCATGCTGGATTGACAGCATGACCAATGTATTCAACCTTTTCTTGGCGCATGGTGTTTTATGTGAATGTTTATCCTTTTAAGCTTGGAAAATAGACCCTTAAACACAGGCTTGGACCACACACCCTCTCCACCGAATACAGTAGCAGGCTAGTGATTGCTTTGCTGCGCTTGCAGTTAGCCAGCGATTCCTTCCAAACCACTCATTGTTGCATTTGCGATTTCCAACTTGTTGTGTAATGTTTATGTCCAATGGCCGATGGCCGATGGTCGATGATATATAACATATAACAAGGATTGAAAAGGATTTGCCAGTAGATTGTCGACTTGATTCATGATGATGACTGCTTGTCTAGCTTGCTAGCTAAGATTTTGAAAGTATGATGAGGACATGATCAGTACAATCAAAGCTACTGTAGATATAATGTGATTTGATGTCATTTAATCTGTGGCCAATGACCTTGAGCCTTCTTGGATGGGCACTTATAATGTAAATCTATGGCAGCACCCAAGGTGCTTGAATTTTCGAGCTCTCCCTGTAGATTTTGGGGTGACATAGTGTCCCCATGAGTGACAGAACATTGAGCCAATAATGGCGCAACTAGAGAACATTACCAACCCCTACCCTCTGTATTGTCCGCTGGCTGCCCCACTAGCACAGAAAGCACTGAGCTAGGCTGAAACACCTGCATTTTGGAGCTGCCTTACTCAAGAAAGCATAAAAGAGACCATGTTTGTATGTGGCTTAAATTTTTTTTTTTACATTGTTTGCAAACTGATATGTGACATGTATTAATGCAACAATAACATGCAAAACATCTAACAAATAAAATATATATATATATATATATTATGTATTTGTTTACAATTTTGCGGTGGGGTGTGTGTGTGTGTGTGTGTGTGTGTGTGTGTGTGTGTGTGTGTGTGTGTGTGTGGTGAGACCGAGCGCTGCAGCTGAGTCACGATCAAGCATACAAGCAGCACCCCGTTGCTCCCCAAACACCGTTCTAGGGCAACTTTAGGTTGCCCATTATGGAGCACCGCTGTTTAACCCTTTCCTGAAATACGGGCTGAGACGTCCCGTCATGCAATAAAATCCGACACCGTGCCTTTCCCCAAACACCGTTCTCGCTTGCATTGTGGCCTCTGAGCTCATGGTGAGAGCACGCGTCTTGTAAGTAAGGTATGTGGGTCGAGTCCCCTGTCCAATGCACAAAAAATCATCATGACTAATCGCTGATTGCGTTCTGCTAAACACATTTTGCATAGTTAGTTTTGTTTCGGTATGTTGTATTGAAAGTGGCTAATATTGCGTTGATTCGATCACAATTCCCACAGTAAAGGGAATTGTTGATAGTGTTAGATAAGGGGGAAAACTAGAAAGTTGAGTAAAGTTCAATCTTGTGCTTCTCTGCGTGGCCTGATATTTATCCTGTGTGGGCAGTCCTGGGGGAGCTACGCGCCCACGCGCAGTTTAGAGGGAACATTGGCCAGGGGCTGTCTCCAACACTCAGACATTAACAAACGAAGCGTGTGTGTTTAGTGAGTAAGCCAGATCAGAGGCAGTAGGGATGACCAGGAATGTTCTATTGATAAGTGCCTGAATTTAACAAATGTCCTGTCCTGCTAAGCATTCAAAATGTAAATATATGGATTAAAAAGTTCATACATTTTTTTGGGAATGTAGCTTAGTAAAAGTAAACGTCAAAAATATAAATAGCAAAATACAGATACCCCCAAAAACGACTTAAGTAGTACTTTAAAGTATTTTTTACTTAAGTACTTTACACCACTGGATTTAATAGATAGCCTATAACTTCAGTGTATTGTTGTTGTAGCCTTGTGTTATTATGCAATTATTAATGGCTATGTTTAGTTAATGAAATTGGAAGGTATCGATTGTGATCATGGTCACAGTTCTATCGCAATTGCCGATCAGCTGTTGTTAAAATGCATTAGATTGAAGGTAACAGTCAGTCAGATAAGGTTACAGGTACAAAAATAAATAAAATAAAAACACTGGCTGTTGTTGACAAGCATAGGCCTATTCAGTTAAGATCCATGTTATTAATATTTCAGTGATTGAAATTAAGACCCATCCTCAGTAGTCTATTCCAGCAGGCTATTGGGCAACGGAAGCACTTCTTACCTCGAAATCGCCTACCTATTGATGATGAATACATTTGTCTGTCAATTTGAACTAAGCAAGCTGGTGAATCGTTCATCTTACATCTTGCCTACATTTTGCCTAGGCTACTGTAGGCTATCTGAAATTAGATGTAGGCCTATCAGGGGCTATAGACTACCTGCATCTAGCTAACCAAACCATGGCAGAATTGAATTACAGTCATAAACCCAGATTTTAGTCAGTAGACCTAGCCTATGCCTAATGAAATGACAAGTCAATCTTGCAAATAGGCAATGTATAACGGTTTGTAGTCTTAACATAACAGCACAATTTCCAGAAAATAGCCTAACATTCGTTTTTTAAAGTTTAATAAGGGCGAATTATATCGCCAATATTTTCTCTTGCGACATATTCAAATTCCTTTATTAGTTACATTATCTCGCAATAATTATTATTTTGATGGAAATCCAAATGTTGCTTCTTAGGTCGTTAGAAGTGATATTCATAATTAATTCGTTCGATAACGTTATTGGAAAAAGGGTTTATTCGCTAAATGTGGCAACTCTTTTGCTGCGAAAAAAAACCATTGGCCTAGTTTTCAGGCCTTGTGCAGGTTTTGAGTAGTCATTTGGTACACATTTTAGCTAAACCTGGCAACCTTGAGCAAACGCAACCTCAAATCAAAATAGCTGCCTTTGCAATGCCTGAACCAAACATAACTATTCAATAATCAAATTTACTGCAAAATCTGCTAATGATATATATTTTTTAATCACTATTTCATGAATCTATGTATACATTGACATTATTCTGTTATGGAAAAATGGTAATCTACATTTCTCTGAGGAATGTATGGGAGCAGGCAATTGGATAGTATCCCCCTGAAATGAACTCAGTTCGTCAGTTGCATGGATGTTGTGAGCGCGTGAACGATACTCATTTGACATTTGCAGAGGATTTCAGAGGTATAATGACCTTATTCGTAATCACTCAAGCTATCTATCATAGCTTTCACAAGGTAAGTGGCAAATAGATTATTCAGTGAGGTTTATTTCATAGATGGACAAATTTGAACGCTAGGAGCCTGTTGTCATGTGTTGGTGAGGGATTAGTTGGCATGGTTCAGGGACACAGATGGAGCAGTAGCCTATCAGTTTGTAAGGATAAGGATATAATTAAGCAATATCGCACGAGGGGGTGTGGTATATGGCCAATATACCACGGCTAAGGGTTGTTCTTAGCCGTGGTATATTGGCCATATACCACAAACCCCGAAGTGCCCTATTGCTATTATAAACTGGTTACCAATGTAATTAGAGCAGTAAAAATAAATGTTTTGTCATACCCGTGGTATATGGTCTGATATACCACGGCTGTCAACCAATCAGCATTCAGGGCTCGAACCACCCAGTTTATAATAGCATTTGTACTACGTACATACCATACTGTATTGACATGATTGGTGGTATGTATGGTTCAAGAATGAGTTATGCTGCTAAACTGTTTATTGTTTTTCTCAACACCACAGGATCCACAGTGGTAGATAGCAGAGAAACAAAACAACATCATGTCTTCATGTTGGCCAAAGAAGCTGTTGTACTTGGCATCACAGCACACCACCAGAACACTTCTCAACAAGAGCACTTGTGTTTGTTCAACGAGCCCCAATCTGAGACACTATACCTGTGGAAAGAATCCATCCCGGAGGAGAGTAGCAATCACTGGAATAGGACTTGTCTCTCCTCTCGGCACAGGGACTACTCTACCCTGGAAGCAGCTGATTAACGGTGCCAGTGGGATCGTCGCCCTTGACTCTGAGATGTATAAGACAGTCCCCTGTAAAGTGGCAGCCCTGGTGCCCCGAGGGGATGGAGAGGGCCAGTTCAAGGATGAGAGATTCGCCACACGCGGGGAGATCAACAGTATGTCACCAGCCACTGTCATGGCTCTCGCTGCCGCCCAGCTGGCACTGGAGGATTCTGGGTGGTATCCCAGCAGCCCTGAGGAGCAGCTGACCACAGGGGTGGCGGTGGGGATGGGCATGGTTTCGCTGGACGAGATCGCCAAGACGTCGGCCATCTTCCAGGCAAAAGGTTACAGTAAGGTCAGTTATGAGGTCCGCTGTAGCCAGCAGGCGCTGAAGTGTGCTGTGCTGCTTCCAACCTCTCAGATGTGTGTGTGTGTGGCAGGGTTGGTTGGTAGGTAGGAGTGTGTCCTATTTGCAGAGCAGGGTTGAGAACTTGAGATTAAATAAGAACAGACTGCAAATAAAACATGGATTTAATAAAAGTTGTATTTGTATTCTAGGTCAGCCCCTTCTTTGTGCCTCGTATCCTGGTCAACATGGCTGCCGGTCACATCAGCATCAAGCACAAACTGAAAGGCCCCAACCATGCCGTTTCCACTGCCTGCACCACTGGAGCCCATGCCCTCGGTGACGCAGCCAGGTTCATCGCCCACGGAGACGCCATCGCCATGGTAGCGGGTGGGACAGAAGCCTGCGTGGGACCTCTGTCAATCGCGGGGTTCGCCAGGGCGAGGTAAGTCTTGAAGATTCCAGGATTATTTTGTTTGTTTGTGTTATTTTTGTTAGTATAGATCTAATCTGTCCTTTGATCAACTTTTACATATGTATTAAGACGTATGCCTATGCCATTTGTATGTTCATGGATTCAGATTGTATTGACTACTATGTGGGTGTAATTCGACTTGAACCTTTACTTGAAGGGCTCTGAGTACCCACTGGAACGACCAGCCAAGGCTGGCATCGCGGCCCTTCCACCCAGAGAGGGATGGGTTTGTAATGGGTGAAGGGGCTGCGGTGGTGCTTCTGGAGGAGTGGGAGCATGCTGTGGGGAGGGGGGCCTCGGTGTACGCTGAGGTGCTGGGGTACGGACTGTCAGGGGACGCCAGCCACATCACAGCCCCCGCTGCTGATGGAGACGGAGCCTTCAGGTAATAGTCATGGATGGGGTTTATAGCACTCTTTCACCAGGTGCTTACTATTTGGGTTAGGAGTTAAGGAACTATTGAGATGTACTGTAGCCAGTACCATTATCAATATCTAGCAACTTGACCATGAGAAAAATATTTGTAATTTTTTTTAGGCCAATTTCAAAAAGATTCTGACATTTTTAAATGAAATGGTGAACATATTTGAAGTTATTAAATTTTTGCAGTCCACTTTCATTCTCCTCTTCTTCCAGGTGCATGTCTGCAGCGCTCAGAGACGCCGGTGTGGAACCGGCCCATGTGACGTACGTGAACGCACATGCCACCTCTACACCACTAGGTGACGCTGCAGAGAACACTGCCATCAAGAGACTTTTCCAGCAGCACGCTGCCGCCCTGGCTGTCTCCTCCACTAAGGGGGCCACGGGGCATCTCCTGGGGGCTGCCGGGGCCCTGGAAGCAGCCTTCACTGCCCTGGCCTGTTACCACAGCACTTTGCCACCCACCCTCAACCTGGACCGCACCGAACCAGAGTTTGACCTGAACTATGTGCCTTGCACAGCACAGCAGTGGAAGACAGAGGGCAGGCGGGTAGCTCTCACAAACTCTTTTGGGTTTGGGGGGACTAATGCGTCGCTGTGTCTCGCCAGTGTCTGAAAAGCTTGTCTGAAGGATTTACTTCTTACTGGTTTTGTATGGGATTTGATTTCACAACAGGTTCTTTATAGATTCCTAGTATTTCAGTTTCAAAATGTTCTCAATATTATATTGGGACATGTAATGCAAACATCGATCATACAATTCTGATCGATGTTTGCATTTTGATCATTCAAATACAGATATGCTTTGTGTACTTGAATACAGTAGTACAGTGGCTTGCGAAAGTATTCACCCCCCTTGGCATTTTTCCTATTTTGTTGCCTTACAACCTGGAATTAAAATGGATTTTTGGGGGATTTGTATCATTAGATTTACACAACATGCCTACCACTTTGAAGATGCAAAATATTTGTTTGTTTGTTTTGAGCGTGTATAACTATTCACCCCCCCCCCCCAGTCAATACTTTGTAAAGCCATCTTTTGCAACAATTACAGCTGCAAGTCTCTTGGGGTATGTCTCTATAAGGTTGGCACATCTAGCCACTGGGATCTTTGCCCATTCTTCAAGGCAGAACTGCTCCAGCTCCTTCAAGTTGGATGGGTTCCGCTGGTGTACAGCAATCTTTAAGTCATACCACAGATTCTCAATTGGATTGAGGTCTGGGCTTTGACTAGGCCATTCCAAGACATTTAAATGTTTCCCCTTAAACCACTCAAGTGTTGCTTTAGCAGTATGCTTCGGGTCATTGTCCTGCTGGAAGGTGAACCTCCGTCCCAGTCTCAAATCTCTGGAAGACTGAAACAGGTTTCCCTCAAGAATTTCCCTGTATTTAGCGCCATACATCATTCCTTCAATACTGACCAGTTTCCCAGTCCCTGCCGATGGAAAAACATCCCCACAGCATGATGCTGCCACCACCATGCTTCACTGTGGGGATGGTGTTCTCGGGGTGATGAGAGGTGTTGGGTTTGCGCCAGACAGCGTTTTCCTTGATGGCCAAAAAGCTCAATTTTAGTCTCATCTGACCAGAGTACCTTCTTCCATATGTTTGGGGAGTTTCCCACATGCCTTTTGGCGAACACCAAACGTGTTTGCTTATTTTTTTCTTTAAGCAATGGCTTTTTTCTGGCCACTCTTCCATAAAGCCCAGCTCTGTGGAGTGTATGGCTAAAAGTGGTCCTATGGACAGGTACTCCAATCTCCGCTGTGGAACTTTGCAGCTCCTTCAGGTTATCTTTGGTCTCTTTGTTGCCTCTGATTAATGCCCTCCTTGCCTGGTCCGTGAGTTTTGGTGGGCGGCCCTCTCTTGGCAGGTTTGTTGTGGTGCCATATTCTTTCCATTTTTTAATAATGGATTTAATGGTGCTCTGTAGGATCAATGTTTCAGATCTTTTTTTATAACCCAACCCTGATCTGTACTTCTCCTCAACATTGTCCCTGACCTGTTTGGAGAGCTCCTTGATCTTCATGGTGCCGCTTGCTTAGTGGTGTTGCAGACTCTGGGCCTTTCAGAACAGGTGTATATATACTGAGATCATGTGACAGATCATGTGCAACTTAGATTGCACACAGGTGGACTTTATTTAACTAATTATGTGACTTCTGAAGGTAATTGGTTGCACCAGATCTTATTTAGGGGCTTCATAGCAAAGGGGGTGAATACATATGCACGCACCACTTTTCCGTTATTAATTGTTTCGAATTTTTTTAATTTCACTTCACCAATTTGGGCTATTTTGTGTATGTCCATTACATGAAATCCAAATAAAAATCAATTTAAATTACAGGTTATAATGCTACAGGTTGTAATGCAACAAAATAGGAAAAACGTCAAGGGCGATGAATACTTTTGCAAGGCACTGTATGTTTATTTATCACCAGCAGGTGGCACTGTCTCACAAGGAGACTACGCTGGAGAGGCTATGGGTTATTACCTTTTATACGGTCTATACAGGCAGTTCAGCTCCAGCCCGAGCCCTTTATTGTAATAGAAGGCTGTGCTGGTTGGTCATAAAGTGTAATTTCCCAAGACTTCCTGGATCCACCATGAGCATAAACATCACAGTCACTCATTTGGGTCCCAAAGGCCCTGGTTCACACTTTCTGTCCTCCAAAACAGGGTTTTATTGGTGGAATTCAGAGGTTCTCAACCTGGGGTACGGGTTAACCAGGGTATACTTGGGAAGACGCATAGGAACATAGGCCTACTGGTATATTGCACATGAGGGTTACTGCAGGGTCACCCCAGGCAGAGCTAAATGTAATTGCGGATACAGTAACTAAAGAACCACTGGTGTAATTCTACAGCCGGATTTAGCACTGCTGGTTATTGGAGGAGTGATGATCTAACGTTTCCAATCTTCTCTCTCTTTCTGAAAGTGCTTATAGTTTTTTTGTTAAATCAGCAATGCATCCAAGTACTGTATTTTGTGTATTTACTGGTATTTAAGGTGTTCATCCATCGTGGCCCTGTAAGATCTAGATTAAAAACAGATTAAAAAGCCTAGTCCCGGACTAAAAGGAGCTTTCAATGGAGATTGTCAGGTAAAATGGCCTTCTATTTTTTGGGACTCTGTGTGAACAACAAGTCATCAGTACCGCAGACAGAGGAGAGCAGTGTAGTGATATGATATAGGGGAAGGTTAAGTGGGGACATCTGGCATTAGTTGCGTCCCAAATTCCCCCTAGCACACAACTTTTGACAAGGGCCTATAGGACTCTGGTCAAAAACTAATGTGTGTGCTCTATAGGGAATAGGGTGCCAATTAGAATGCATACATTACCTCAAGGGAGACAGAGGTGATGGGAAAAATAAGCTTTCACATTACTCCTCTTCTCCACTCCCGATGTGTAAAAGCAATAATCAGGGCTAGTCGCTCTTCTGTGGAAAATAAAAACGGAGTTCTTGAACCGACCTGAGGGAGACGTGAAATGATTGCGTATGAAGGGTCATTTGGGGGGATCTCTTATCCTCTTTGTGTTCCCTCTGGATCACAGGATGTGGGTTGCTCAGTCTGAGGGAAAGCTACTATAAGTGTGATTGACTTGAAGAATAGAAGCAGACGAAGACGTGCCTCTTGCAAACTGTTGGGGCAGGAGTATTTTTGCCGCGTTCAAAACAACTGGGAACTCTGAAAAATACGAGGTCCAAATCATGACGTCAGTGATCTTCAGGTCGGAAATCGGAGGTCTAGGAAGTGGCCAGAGTTCCCAAATTGGAATTCCGAGTTGGATGAATGTTCAAATCGATTTTTCCCAGTCGGAGCTCGTTTTTTTCCCCGAGTTCCCAGTTGTTTTGAACGCGGCAATATAGAGGTAGACGTATTAGGAGTGTATTTTACTGTAAATATTGACTGGTAGGAATGTCAGTTAATATGAACAAATGCAGGCTTTCTATCAATTTATTGGAAACGTGCAAAACACTCTTCAGTGTATGAATTCTTGAATACTTTGTTCAGTCACGAGTCATGACTGAAGTGAATAGCAGATGCAATACGTGAAAATAATTAGCATGATGAATTACAGGGGGATGTCTCTTTCTCAGGGCCATTTTTAGAGATTACGTTTTATTAACTCTTACAGGATGTCATCTTCCACTAATGAATAAATCAATTATTAATTCCCATTTTAATTATAAATAATTGTATGTGGATAAATGAGATGGGAAGCTTTTTTCTAGTTCGAAGGAAGGATATCCCTTATCTGTGTCTTGAACCTTTTTAGAGTTTCGTTTTTTAGCTTGACAACTGACCTAACCCACAGCAGGTGCTGTTCTCAAAGTTATTTGTGGAAGTTAACCTTGTCCCCTGGCTATTGCTACACAGCACATTTGGGCGGAAGTGTCTGGGAACGAGATTAGTGGAAAGTGGATATAATGTAGGCTATCAAACAAAACACAGTAAGAAAAGATTCACTGTAGGCAGTCTCATTCATTGATGACCTGACCCCCCCCCCCCCCCCCCCAATGGCTGCCATTGCATTGCCATCCCTCATGTATCAAAAGTACTGACACACTGCAGTATTGTGCTGTTATGACTGATTATTGATCAAGAGATGCTAATTATCTATTCCATGTACAGTATAGACATAGAAATGTGAGATCACAAGATCACAAATATGGTTTCCAATCGACTTTCTCTAAGGCCCATCTGTTGTTTGTTGGTTTTTCTGACGGAGTAGAGCTGCAGCAAGTTTTAGGTCTACTCATTCCATTCCGCAATGCTGCTTTTTGGTGCATGAAATTGGAGATTGACATTTACAGTTCCATTTGTTTTTATAGCGTTATACCTAAGGCTAGCTCCCAGCTACCGACAGAAGGAAGTGCCCCTGCCTTCCCACCTCACGGCACTGGTACTGTAATGCACTCACACTGCCAGTTATTTCACAGAACGGGAGGTGTTAAAACATTGACAGCTAGAGAGCGAGGACCCAGAGTATGTGAATTATCTGTGGCGTACAGTACATTCAGCTTCCAAGTATTTCTCTGCCTGGCCTTTCTACTGTGAACGGCAATCCATCTAAGTGAACGGTTCCTCCATTGATCTGTATGAACCCCTTTGCTCCCTCACTCCCCCTGTCACAAACCCTCTTCTGATCCCTCTCCCCCTTCACCTATCCATACTGCCACAACCCGAGCACCGCACTAGGCCAGGGACTATTGCATCCTATTAATGATGATGATCCGATTCATGTTTTTTCTCTCTTTTCTCCTTCTCTCCAGCCATGCTTTCCAATTAGGAGACATCCAAGCTGAATTACACTCACCATGGCAACAGAGTCGGCATGTATTCTCTTTGATATCAGACGGAGCAGACTGACCGTCCCACTGGGTTTAGCTGGGTTTAGCTCCTCTACAGACACACGTACACATGCTAAAATTAGAGCTTCTCTTTATCACTAGGCTGTTCATTGGGGCATAGTGCTGGTTTAATGAGGGTCAATATACAGTAGAACCTGATGTAACCGAATCACACAACCGCAGGCAGAGACGTTTATATTCGGATTAGTAGGTTAAAAGGCTCTGGAATATTATATTGACGCACTAGAGTGGACACCGGGGGGGTGGAAGACCATGCACATTCTTCAAAAGGCATAGTTCAGATTATGACCTGTGTGTTAGCCTAGAGATTTTTACTACAGCGTGGTAATATATAGAGAGGAATATAAAGAATGGCCAGAGATGTGTTCCACTAACCTCATAAAGACACTAATGAACCTAGGGGTCATGGG